TCACCTCAGCCTCCCAAAGGCGCGGGATTACAGGCTGAGCCACCGAGCCCGGCTCTACAGTAACTTTCTAATCAATCTTTTTGAGTTATGCCATATGATACAAAGGGTATACCCACAGCTGCCTTTCTTATACAAATACTCTTTATCACTACCTTCTGTTACTAAGAAGCATCGTTGGCACCACTGTGAAAGTACTTCACACATTCTCTTTCTACATAATGTCAGCTCAGTATATCTCAATATGCAACCATCTCTTTGTTTTTTCATACAATTTGAATGAAAAACTTCAAGAAAACATACATTTTTTTAAAAATTGTGCTGGCATAAGTTTGTCCTGTATAATCACCAACAATCTCTATGTCCCCTGAGAGGGGACATTGGAGTGGTTTGCTTGATTTACAGTGTCCCCTCAGAAGGGACATCTGAGTGCAAAGGGTTAAATATGGCTTTTGCAAACATTTTCTTCCAGTCTGTGGCATTTCTTCTCATTCTCTTGACATCGCTTTTTGCAGAGTAGAAATTTTTAATTTTAATGAAGTCCAGCTTATTTCATGCAGTGTGTCTTTGGTGTCACATCTAACAGTCATTGCCAAATTCAAGGTCACCTAGATTTTCTCCTGTGTTACCATTAGAAGTTTCATAGTTTTGCATTTTACATTTAGGTCTATGATCCATTTTGAGTTAATTTTTGTAGAGTATTAGGCATATGTCCAGATTCAATTTTTATATGTAGATGTCCAGTTTTTCCAGCATCATTTGTTGGAAAGACTGTCTTTTCTCCACTGTATTCTGTATTGCCTTTGCTCTTTTGTCAGAGATCAGTTGATTATCTTCATGTGGGTCTGTTTCTGGCCTCTCTGTTTTATTGATTTATTTGTGTATTATTTCACCAGTACCACACTGTCTTGAATAATGTAGCTTTCTAGTATGTCTTGAGTAGTGTCAGTCCTCTAACTTTTTTTTTCTTTCAATATTGAGTTGGCTATTCTGGGTCTTTTGCCTTTCCATAATAAACTTGAGAATCCGTTTCTTGATAGTTACTAATTACTTATTTTTAGTGCATATTTAAATATATTTTGTTTTGACAAAAGTTTATAGTTTCAGATTTTTCTTGAAGTTTCTCAAGAAGATTTTTTTTTATTTTAATTTTAATTTTTTTGAGTTGGAGTCTCACTCTGTTGCCCAGACTGGAGTGCAGTGGCCGCTCCCGGCCACCTCAGCCTCGACCTGCTGGGCTCCGGCGATCCTTCGCCTCAGCCTTCCAAGTAGCTGGAACTACAGGTGCGCGCTACCATGCCTGGCTCATTTTGATTTATTGTAGAGTTGAGGTCTCATCAAGTTGCCCAGGCGGGTCTCGAACCCATGGGCTCAGGCAATCCACTCACCTCAACCTCCCAAAGTGCGGGATTACAGGCTGAGCCACTGAGTCCAACTCAGGAAGATTATTAACTATAGTTTATTAATTCTACCAACTGGCACCTGAAATTTTGCCTTCTAATTTCTTTCTTTTACCCATCTTTTAACATTTTAAGTATTTTAAAAACCAATTTGCCTTTTGATTATTTTTGCAGGGTACATATTTTTGGAGTTTTTATTTATGTTTATGTGAAGTTTGAGACATCAATATTATAGATAATCACTTTAGGGGACATTCATTTCTTTTGTGCTTCTGTGAAACGTTTAACTTTCAGGTTGAAGCCGGGCTCGGTGGCTCAGCCTGTAATCCCGTGCCTTTGGGAGGCTGAGGTGAGTGGATTGCCTGAGTCCGCGGGTTCAAGACCCACCTGGGCAACTTGGCGAGACCTCATCTCTACAATAAATCAAAAAATCAGCCGGGCGTGGTAGCGCATGCCTGTAATTTCCGGCTACTCGGAAGGCTGAGGCGGGATCGCCGGAGCCCAGCAGGTCGAGGTTGTGGTGGCCGGGAGCGGCCACTGCACTCCAGTCTGGATGACAGAGTGAGACTCCAACTCAAAAAAAAAAAAAAAAAAAAAAAACTTTCAAGTTGAATTTTTCTACATTATTACTACCAAGTTATCATAACCCAGTTGCTTCTTTAAAAAAAAGTCAATATCTCATCTGAAATAAGATTGCTTTGGCTACTTTCTTTTATTTATTTTTTGAGTCATAGTCTCACTCTGTTGCCCAGGCTGGAGTGCAGTGGCATGCTCATGGCCACCACGTCCTCAGACTGGTGAGCTCAGGCAATCCTTCCATCTCAGCCTTCGAGTAGCTGGGACTAGAGGCGTATGCCACCATGCCCAGCTAATTTTTTTACTTATTGTAAAGATGAGGTCTCGCCAAGCAGCCCAGGCTGATCTCGAACCCCTAGGCTCAAACAATCCTCTTGCCCCCATCTCCCAAAGTGTTGGGATTACAGGTATGAGCCTCTGGGCCTGTCCTTATTTTTTAACTTTATTTTCTCTATCATAAAATAGTAACTACTGCTTGGCAATCTCTTACCAGTTTTTCAGAAGGCATGTCGGCCTTGATTTTTGCTCTGGAAATTAACATTTTAAATATACTGTTTCATGTATGACAGTACTTTTTTTTGTTCATTTTTAAAAATTCATTATTTTTTTGCTTCTTCAATTTTTAGAGATTCTTTCTTTCAGCTAAAAAGTGTAGCAGCTGCATTTATCTGCTGGTTTACTCATGGATCGATTTTGTATTTCTAGCAACTGTAAACAAATTTCAGCAAACTATGATCTATAACCTAAGAATGGTTATTACAATTTGAAAACATTGTGTACAAAAGAAAGATATGTATCAGAAATAACACAAGACCCACAAATCCTAAAATATGTGATCATCCCTAGTGTGCTGATCCCAAATCTAGACTCTTCTTTGTTTTCTGCTTTTGATGTGTGTACTATTGGATTTGAACTGTCTGTATTGTGCTATTTGGTTGTTATGAAATGGAGAATGCATATTTTTTTCTGAATATGAGACATTTGTAGGAAGATTAAAACATTTTGTGATCTTTAACTTTTGTTAAGTTGGATATTTCTTTAAATGTTATAAAAACTCTCAAAAGTAGTCAATTAAAATTTCTCAGAAGTTTTTAAAAGTTGTTCATGACCAGCCTGGGCAACATAGTGAGACCCTGTCTCTATTGGAAAAAAAAAAAAAAATTAGCCCAGTGTGGTGATTCTTGCCTCACTCCTTGCTGCTCAGGAGGCTGAGGCAGGAGGATTGCTTGAGCCCTGGAGTTGGAGATAATAGTGAGCTATAGTTGGTGTCACTGCACTTCAGCCTGGGCAACAGAGCGAGGCATTGTATCTAAATAAAGAAAACGGAAAAAAAGGTCTTCAAAACTGGGTAAAACTATCTTTTATAAATTGCTGTACACTTTTATATACTAAAAAATGTATTTTTGCTGAGTCTGTAAAATTTGGTAAATTCACCTAATTGGTTAGCAGCAAAATGATTCTAATGTGTCTCAACTGAAGTTGATCCTTTTTTATATATACTTGGATGTGATGATTATTTAAAGCTTGTCATTTTAGCACTAGAGTTTTTAACCTGGGATCTGTGGACCTGGAGAGTTTGTGAAATCTATTAAAAAATGTGTGAGACTATAATTGAGGAGTAAGGAGGGAAGGGGCAGCTATGAGAAGAGGACCCGTGACTTTCAGTAAATTTTTTTCAAAAACGCTTATGACCTAAGAAAGGTTAATTACCACTGATTTAGGAGAAAGAATACCTACTTGTGTGTTGTTTTTTGTTCTGGCTGATTTTAGGGGGAAGTAATGAAATACAGTGGTGAAATTTGAATTTCCAAAGGTTATACAAGTGAACGTAGCCATGAATCATATGTACCTGAATGAGGGGGAGAGTTCTGGGAGTGGGTTGCACCTGCCACCCCTCTTGGGTCCACACTTTCAGTGTGTGTGCTGCTCTGTTTTCCAGATGAGCAGAACTACATTCTCCGAGATGCTGAGGCTGAAGTACTTTTCTCTTTCAGTTTGGAAGAGTCCTTAAAACGGGCACACGTTTCTCCACTCTTTAAGGTACACTTTAAGCAAAATTAATTTAGTCCAGGTAGATGTAACACACGGTCCCCTTGAGGGAATGAATAGGTGACTTGGTGGGAAGTGCACCTCAGGGGACCTGGGCTCATCTGCTTCCCACTCCCTGGCTCCTCCTCCTCAAATGTTGCCACTGGAGGTCTAGATAACTTAGGCCTCTAGATAACTTTTCTTTACTATAACTTTTTAAATTGTTAAATAAATACGTGAGATAAGGTGTCAAAGAGTATGCTTATGAATAATTTAACTGGTTAAGAGACATGTAAGTTCATTCTTCTGCTTTAATAAGTCTTTGGAGGACATTGCTTACTTTGTACTATTCTCATGAAACATGTATTCAGAAGATACTTGGGAAAATATTAATTGAAAATATGCATAAATAATTCAGAACAAAAGATTTTTAAATACTTGTTTGGTGAGATACTTAGAACATTTAGGGAAAATGTTTTTGTATCAAACAGCAAAGTAAATCGGTAAAGAAAATCTCTGTTCTTTAAACTTGTTAAGGAGCCAACTTCAAAATTAAAAATGATTTGCAATACTGAGTTAAGATATATTTTACCTAAAGTAGTCTGATTGTTCTAAATGTTTGCTTTTTTTATGGGCACTTTAAAACAGAGCAGTATTTTGTAGTATACTCGGGCGCAAGCTTGTTAGATAATTAGATTTTAAGCATCAGTATAATTTTCTGTTCTAAGTAGTTCAAATAATATAGAGAAAATAAAGAAAAGGAATACAAGCCAGAACTGTGGTATGTTGATCTGTTGCTTGACAGATAAATGAGGTTAAACATAATGCTGGGCTGGGCGCGGTAGCTCAAGCCTGTAATCCCAGCTCTTTGGGAGGCTGAAATGAGGGGATTGCCTGAGCCCACGGGTTCGAGAACAGCCTGGGCAAATTGGCAAGACCTCATCTCTACAATAAAAAAAAATATCAAAAAATTAGTCGGGTGTGGTAGCACATGCCTGTAGTTCCAGCTACTTGAAAGGCTGAGGTGGAAGAGCAGGTCGACACTGGGGTGGCGTGAGCATGCCACTGCACTCCAGCCTGGGCAACGGAATGAGACTCCAACTCAAAAAAAAAAAACAACATAATGCTGACTTAAAATTAGATCAAATTGAGCTGGGCCCGGTGTCTCATGCCTGTAATCCCAGCACTTTAGGAGGCAGAGACGAGATGATTGCCTGATCCCACGGGTTCGAGACCAGCCTGGGCAGCATGGCAAGACCTCTACAATACATCAAAACACTAGCTGGGCATGGTGACACATGCCTTTAGTTTCAGTTACTTGGAAGGCTGAAGCGGAATTATTGCCTGAGCCCAGCAGGTTGAGGCTGCAGTGACCATGAGCATGCCACTGCATGCCAGCCTGGGCAACAGAGTGAGACTCTGAATTTTAAAAAAAATTAGATAAAATTGTGAAAAATGTTTATAATATTCTCGCATATTCACAGCGTACTTTTTTTTTAGGAACTTAAGCTCTGGTTGCATTTAATCAACACAGGGTGGTATATACTTAACATGTGATAAAAATGCTTATTTCCAGATTTATATAACAGGATTCCTCTAGGCTCATTTCAGATTGCATACCAGTGGGGGAATATTATTTTTATAATTTCACAAAATTAGACATTTTGTCAAAAATCTTGGCAGTATTTAAGCAAAATTATACACTCTAAAAATTAAAAACATTTTAAGAACATATGTATTTTTTCATTTTGTTTCTAGGCAAAATATTTTTATATCACACCTGGAATCTGCCCAAGTCTCTCAACTATGAAGGCAATTGTGGAATGTGCAGGAGGAAAAGTGTTATCTAAACAGCCATCTTTCCGGAAGCTCATGGAGCATAAGCAGAATAAGGTAGTAGCGTGAAGTCAGCTGAGGCTGTTATTGTCATGTGAAGGATTCCATGTTCCATCACTGATGATAAACTCCTTATCTTTTCCTTAGAGTTTGTCAGAAATAATTCTAATATCCTGTGAAAATGACCTTCATTTATGTCGAGAATATTTTGCCAGAGGAATAGGTACGATTTACCACTCTTGTTTTTTGTTAGCATATATATCTAAGCACACTCAGCAATACATTTATTTATTTTAACGGTCTTTGTTTTCATTCTATTTAGATGTTCATAATGCAGAGTTTGTTCTAACTGGAGTGCTTACACAAACGCTGGACTATGAATCATATCCTTTTTGAAAGAGAAAAAAGGTGGATTGAATATGGTGGGTTGAATATGAAAATGGATTTACAAGTTGATAAAACAGGATCTTTACAGTTTTTGCAAACCATTTTCCTTTCTTTGTTGTTATGATTTATTCATTCTTCTCAGGATATTCATTTGGGTTTCAAGTAAAAACATTCCCTAAACTTACTTAGAGTTCAGTGTCAATAAGTGACATTAATTAGAAAGGATCTGCACTGTGTAGTTTGTAGGTATTTAAGTATTTGGCAATTAGATAAAATGTAAAATAAATATCTTCTATGTATTTATTATTGTCAGCTCAATTTTGAGTTTGTAATTTTCTAACTGAAATTTACTTTGTGTATAGTCTTTGTACTCAGGAACTTTGAAATGGGACATAAAAACACAGCTTAATAGAGGCATTGAAATGAATAAATTATTAACATGTTAGGTAAAATGCAAAGATCTTTAGATAATGCGTTTTGACACACGTAAGCTTTTTTATATTTCAGGCAATCAAGAAAAAAAAGCTTGTTATCTTATTTATAGTCCTTATTTAAAAATCTGAGTTACCTTATGTATGAACAGCCCAACAGTGAAGCATATGTGCCTCACAAATCCTTACAAAAAACATGTTTCAACTTCAGTTTCCCACTGAAAAGGGGCTTACTCACATGTGATGCTTCTTGGAACTTCTCCTTGTGGCTGGTGCAAGTATGCTGGAGAGCAGGAGGCAGGAGTATCTACAGCCTCTGATTAATATCAGCCTTAGCTGGATCTTTTCTTATGCAAGGGAATTTGTTTTGGAGAAAAGTGCTTAAGTAAGTCATAGAGGTCAGAAAGACATCCATCCTGGGTGAGTTTTTTTCTCTCCATATGTGCCTATTTCATCCAGTTAATTACATTTATCACTTTACTCTTTTTTTTTGAGTTGGAGTCTCACTCTGTCGCCCAGGCTGGAGTGCAGTGGCACGCTCATGGCCACCCCAGCCTGGGCTGCTGGGCTCTGGCGATCTGTCTGCCTCAGCCTTTCTAGTAACGAACTACAGGCACACGTGACCATGCCTGGGTAATTTTTTAATTTATTGTAGAGACGAGGTCTCACCAGGTTGTCTGGGCTAGTCTTGAACCTGTAGGCTCAGGCAATCCACTCACCTCGGCCTCTCAAAGTGCTGGGATTACAGGCTGAGCCACCAAGTCCGGCCTACTTTACTCTTAATCTTAAAGAATTTATAATATTAGGCAGGTGACCCCAATATCACTGGGAGAAACACACTTTTAAAAGGTGAAATTTGAGCCGGGCTCGGTGGCTCAGCCTGTAATCCCGTGCCTTTGGGAGGCTGAGGTG